CATTCTGCTTTCCATCTAGATTTGTTCCTTCAATATAAGTGCCCTCTGAAATTCTTTCCTTGCTGATACAGATATTTTTGTTGATAATTTTTAAAATTCTTAATTGTATTTATATTTAGCATTTACTCAACCAAAAATACTATCATCAAAACTATCTTTACTTAATGGAATCAATTTTCTCTTATGCATATTAGTCCATGATAGGTACTGTGGCATGCATGGAAACAGTTTAATTAATACTAAATTATTGTCAGGTAGGAGGGAAAAGGATGTGGTAAGAATATTGGACATACTGATGTGTGTTCTTCTTAACGTGTGGCACATATGTCTTAGAGTGGAACATTGATGGTCAATTGGAGGCTTGTCCAAAGGATATTCAAACTTGTCTGGAATATATTTACTTCAACTGAGTTATTGTTGTTGTTATGACCCGTCAAGTTGGATCCGACTCACAGTAACTCATAGTGACCCTTCCTTGGGTTTCTGAGGCAGTATCACTACGGAAGTAGATTGCCCAACTTTCTTTCAGAGGAATGGCTGGTGGATTTGAACTGCCAGCTTTCTGGTTAGCAGTCAAAGGCCTTAAGCTCTAAGCCACCAGGACACTATTTTCTATATGAAGGTTGTTGTTACATCATACAGGAGACTAATGGATGTTAAAATTATTGAATTTTAATGTGAGATATTTTTACTGCATAGAATGACATGTTACTTCAGTCTTACGTTATTGAAACAACTAGAACTCTTTGGTTATATAAGGAAATATTCTAAAACATGGAGAATTTTTATAGCATAATAAATTTGAACATCTATTTTTTTCTCCCACATGTGTTAGTTAAAGAAACTCCCCCATCTGTGAAAGATGCCAGTGATGATTATTGTAAATGAATTATTAGTTTATTACAACTGGCTCTGTTATTCTTTGATTTTTTTACTCTGGCCATAGGTTCTTCCTCAGACTCATTAAGTATTCTCCTTTCTCAGGTCTTTGGACTTTGTAATAGTTAAAGTTGTATGTCAAGTTGGCTGGGCCTGGTTTTGAGTGGCTGGGCAGCTGGGTATAGTGATTCCCCAGCGTGAGATTGGTAATTAACTCCATGGTGGAAGCTACTGGAGCAGCGGAGCAGCTTCTTTAGGGATGTGGGCTGCTTCCAGGACATAAGAAGCAACTTTGAGGAAGGTCTCCAGCTTTATGACATGCTTGGACCCTCATGTAGCTGACTCTTCGTTTAGCAACCTGCCATGTTTCCTGCCAGTCTTGGGACTGTCTCTGGACTGGAATCAATGGCCTGCCATGTGGTTTGGTAATATTGGGACTGTGCCTTTTTACTTGTCAGTCTTGGGTTTACCAGCCTCAGGAGCCAACAGCTGCCTGAGTGAAGAGAGAGCCTCTAGATTCAGTGGGCTGGGAGCAGGACACAGAGCTGAAGTCCAAGGTTGAGGGGCTTTCACCCAGCTCGTAGAGCCTGGCACTTTACACTCAGACTTCTGGCCTCCCAAACTATAGAGAATAAATCCCGTTTGTTAAAGCCATCTCATTTGTGGTATTTCTGTTAGAGCGGCGTGAAGTAACCAAAACAGACTTATTGTTCCATCTGCCTGGAAGGCTCTTCATCTACTTGCCTGGCTCATTTTCTCATTCATTTACTACCTAAGAGGTCTTTCATGAACATCCTGTATGAAATATCACTCCCTCTCTTTTCTGTTGTCATTAATGTTGTTGTCAGGTGCCATTGAGTCAGTTTTGACACAGCGACCCTATGTACAACAGAACAAAACCCTGCCCAGTCCTGCACCATCCTCACAGTCACTGCTGTGCTTGAGCCCATCGTTTCAGCCACTGTGTCAGTCCATCTCATTGATGTCTCATTTTTCTCTGACCCTCTGTTTTATCAAGCATGATGCTCTTCCCTAGGGACTGGTTCCTCTTGACAACACGACCAAAGTACAAGAGATGAAGTCTCACCGTCATCTTTTTTAAGGAACACTTTGGTCGTATTTCTTCAAAGACAAATTTGTTCGTGCTTCTGGCAGTCCATACTATATTCAATATTTGTTGCCAACACTGTAGTTCAATTGTGTCAATTCTTCTGCAGTCTTCCTTTTTCTTTATCTGGCTTTCACATGCTTATGAGGTGACTGAAAATATTATAGCTTGAGTCAGGCACACCTAGTCTTCAAAGTGACACCACTGTTTGTTAACACTTTAAAGAGATCTTTTGTAGCAGATTTGCCAATGCAATGCGTTGTTTGATTTCTTGGGCATTGATCATGGATCCAAGTAAAAAGAAATCCTTGACAACTTCATTCTTCTCTCCATTTATTGTGATGCTACTTATTGGTCCAGTTGTGATGATTTTTGTTTTGTTTATGTTGATATGTAATCCATTACTGGAGGCTGTAGTCTTTGATTGTCATAAGGAAGTGTGTCAAGTATATATAAGGTCAAAGGAGGTTGTATTTGTGTTTGCTTTAGGTTGGACCTGCTTTAAAAACTTTGCATCCTTGTCCCCAGTCTATCTTATTTGCCCTGCCCCCTATTTCTTATTTCTAACTGTATACAGAATGTATCTTTTTTTTTTTTTTTTGGTATTCCCTCAGAACTTTCACCTCAGAATGTTTTCGTGTGAAACTATTTCTCTTTCCTTCTTAAGGCTTATTCTTTTCCCCTTCTTCATTACTGTTACAATATCACTGTGATACCAGACAAAATCATGAAGTCATTTATTTGCTCATTCTTCCTGCAAACATTTGTCATCTTGTATTCCTTATTAATTATCTATCTGCATATAAGTGAAAATGTCAAGTGGATGGTTTGAGATTATGAGAGGTTGTGGCTAGAGATATAAATTTGGCAGTTATAAGTGGATGAGTGATATTTTAAGCCATGTGTCTGGATTACATCACTTAGGAAAATGTATATAGATAAAAAAAGAGAGATCTAATGACTGAGCCCTGAGGTGGTTTAACTTTGGAAGACAGGAAAGTGATGCTGGCTGAACAAACAAGAATGAAATTGAACAGACAGTGACAATAGTGCTCCAGAGGACAAGTCGAGAGATTGTAGGAAGAGAAGAGATGCTCTATATGAACTGCTGAGAGATCAAGTCAGAGGAACACTGAAAAATGACCACTGGAATTGCCAGTAGGATGGTCATTATTTTCAGTGGAGTAATGGGAATGATAAGGAGCTCTGGTAGCATAGTGCCTAAAGCACTTGATTGCTAACCAGAAGGCTGGCGGTTCAAACCCACCATCCATTCCTCGGAAGAAAGATGGGGCAATCTACTTCCGTAGTGATATTGACTCGGAAACTAGGTACCTTTTTGTGCATGAAAGTATTCTTACTGTTTGTTATCATGTGATCTGCCATACTGTTTAGTACTCAGTTACAACAGATGTGATGCTAATATAAACTTAGTATTTTCCATTAATTGTTCTACCTTCATGTCCTTTCTATTCCTGTTAGATTGTAAGCTCCTGTTGGGTAATTGCTGTCATTTATGGCTGAAATGTTCCTAAACCATACTGAACAACTCATCAAATGATCCAGAGAAGAGTGATACCTAAAAGTATATTGAGGGTGTACTCACTATCTAGTGAGATCTTCATGTTGACTAATCTTCAGAGTGGTGTATCATTAGTGGCACATTCCTCATTATATTTTTTACCCTTCAAATAATGCACATTTCTATGTACAAAATATATGTATTTTGTGCATTAATTTTAATTTAAATGTTAATGATTAAAGATTAGGTGGTTATGAGTTTATTTTTGGAATCTTCTTCATGATCTCTTTCAATTCTTAGTTCTTTACTCTGAGTCAGTGTTTTTCCTTACTGAGTTCAGTTATATCTCTTTTCTGCCCAAATGAAGGACAAAGTCATATTAGAATCTAACAAGTTAATTTTCAGTTTTCTTATAATAGCTTCTGTAATCATACATGCAGTAACAAGCTGCTTTTTGACTCTTTCATTCACTATTACTCCTACTGCTAACTCTTGCTGTTTTCTAGTTCCTTTTCTCTTTTATGGTAAGGCAGGTCAGGTAAATTCTGTTGTTGTTGTTGTTATGTGCCTTTGAGTCAGACCTGACTTGTAGTGACCCCTCTTTGGGTTTCCGAGGCAGTGTCACTACGGAAGTAGATTGCCCAACCTTCCTTCCGAGGAGTGGCTGGTAGGTTTGAACTGCCAGCCTTCTGGTTAGCAGTCAAGTGCCTTAGGCACTATGCTACCAGAGCTCCTGGGTTAATTCTATACAGGATAAAAAGTTCTTAAAAGATTTCAAGACTGTTAGCTTTTCTCATGGATTATTATATAGATTTCATTTAAATCTGTCATCTAAGTTTTTGAAGTATGGTATGTATTATCATTGCATATACTTGTAAGTTTCCAAGTGTTGTTCAACAATATTACTACAAATTTCAGGACTTAAAACAATTATTATTTCACTGCTTCTGTGTGTCACAAGTACAGATACCTAAGCTGAGTCCTCTGCTTCAGGGTTTCATTAAGGTACAATCAAAGTGTTGGCTGGGGCTGTGATCTCTTCTGAGGCTTTAATGGGAAAGATCTACTTCTAAAGTCACGTGGGTGGTGGCAGAATTCACTTCTTTGCCAATAAGGCTTCCGGATTGAGGGTCTGGTTCTTGCTGGCTGTCAGAAGGAAACCACCCTCAACTTCTTGCTTTGTGGCCCCCTCCATATGGTAGTTTGCTTCTTTAAAGCCACTAGGGGAGAGAATATCCCCCAAATAAGCATTCAGATTTTATTGGTTATATAAACAAGTCATAGTCTTCATCCACATTTGAGAGGAGATAAGACACAAGGGCATGAACACCAGAAGATAAGTATCAGAGGGGCCACCCTAGAGTTTGTCGGCCACAACTTATCTGCTATACTTTCACTTGGGAAAACCTTTTATTGTATTCAGTAATTTTTGTTACTTTTCTTTAAAATGTAATGATAACTTTTTTTTTTTTTTTTGTCCCCCTTAACTAGAATCCATTGGCCGGGACATCCCCAAAATGCTTGAATTATTTAAAACCGGACATGAAATTGAGGTAGACGAAGAAAGGGAGAACTTTCTTCAGACCAAAATAGCAACAGTAAGTTACAGTGGAAATTATCAAATAACCCTCTTTTCATTTATGTTCAGATAATACATTAATAATTTATTATATAATATGCCAGTTCTTTGAACTTGTTCTTAGTACTAGTTCTTAGCACTCCTAGTATTAGGAGTGGCGCTAAATATACTCATAGATAATTTCTTTTTTATTGTTCTATGGATCAAACTCATTTTAATAGTACTTGAGATATTCAGAGATAATTTCTTTTTTTTATTCTATAGATGAAACTCAAATTTTAATAGTACTTGAGAATTCCTTCTTTCCAGAGTTACGTGTCATTCACTGACATTTAGTTGTACTCTGCCTTATTTGATTTTTATTCTATGTATGTACTTATTGTGTCTAATATTTTAAGCTTATTGATTGTAGGGACTAATCTTGTTTATCTGCTGGAGAGCATTGAGTAATGGTGAGCACATTTAATATTCCTTTAATGTATCTGAGTAATTGGCTTTATTTTTATGAATTACTTCTGAATTTTCATTGTTTTGTTTAAAAAATTGTCTACTTAAAAAAGTAGCTGGAAATCAATTTCAAAAGCCATTTTTAGGGCATTATAGAAGGCTGGCAGTTCAAACCCACCAGCCACTCCTCAGAAGGAAGGTTGGGCAATCTACTTCCATAGTGATACTGCCTCGGAAACCCAAGGAGGTGTCGCTATCAGTCAAATCTGACTTGACAGCAGGAAGTTTGGGTTTTGGTTTAACATAGATATGTCAGTTTTAAAGGGCTTTATTTTCAAATATATAAATATTAAAAATATTTAAATTATTTGCAATATCTTCTTTATACTAAAGAATCTCTTAAGTGCCTATTTAACATTTACAATTTTTTTTTCCTGTTCAATAAGTATAATAGTAATAGTGATGGCAAAATTTAAATAATGCTTACTATGTCCCAGGCACATTCTAAATATTTTTCATATATTAAATCTTCTAATCCTCAACATTATATGACCTAAAACTATCATCCCCTTTTGAAGATATGGAAACCCAAAGAGGTTAAATAAATTTTCCAAGGTTTCCCAGCAAAATAAGTGTTTGAAGCAAGTTAGCTGTTTGAACTTGGCGTTTTCTCAAGAGTCCAGTCTTTTTACCTCTATACTATCTTGCCTCATGACTGAAATTATTTGCCTTATGGCTGTTATTCCTCCTCTTCCTTCTTTTCTCCTACTACTAATAGGAATTCTGCATTATAGCCAACAGCTACTAATCCCAGCTAATTGAGCTGTGCCAGCTATACATTGGTCAGAAATGTAAAGAAGGCACCCAGTAATTCTATGAAAGGAAAATTTGCTTTAGAAAGGGAACAAAGCAGCTTTAATCAAGTTAAAGATTGGGAAACCTCTGCTTGCCTTACCATCAAAGTTTAGCTCCAGTTCATTTGGCACTGAACTCTGCTAGAATCTGATGTTGAAATGCCCTTGTTTCCAAAAATCCTTGGCAGTCCCTCTTATTTTTCAGTAATGACAATATTTTAAAGCAAAAACCAAACTGAAAAGAAAAACAGATATTTTAAGAGAAAATACCCTGGAATTGTAGAGAATTGGGTTGAATGTCTGCTCTAATATGTAATGGGTGGCAGATTTTAAGCAAGTATCTTAATGTTGTTGTTGTTGTTAGGTGCCGTCGAGTCATCTCTGACTCATAGTGACCCCATGTACAGCAGAACGAAACACTGCCCAGTTCTGCGACAGCCCCATGATCTTTGCTATACCTGAGCCCATTGTAGTAGCCACTGTGTCAATCCATCTTGTTGAGGGCCTTCCCCTTTTACATTGTCCCTCCACTTTACCAAGCATGATATCCTTCTTCAGGGAATGGTCCCTTCTTACAACATGACAGAAGTAGGTGAGATGAAGTCTGGCCATCCTTGCTTTCAAGGAGCATTCCAGATGCACTTTTTCCAAGACAGATTTGTTAGTTCTTTTAGCAATCCATGATACTCAAAAGCATCGATTCTTCTCTGGTCTTCCTTTCTCATTGTCCAGCTTTCACATGTATATGTTGTTGTTGTTGTTGTTGTTATGTGCCCTTGAGTCGGACCCAACTCATAGCGACACCTCCTTGGGTTTCCAAGGCAGTATCACTGCGGAAGTAGATTGCCCCATCTTCCTTGGTGACTGAAAATACCATGGCTTGTGTCAAGCACATCTTTGTCTTGAAGGGAAACATCTTTGTTCTTCAGCACTGCTGCTTTGATTGGTGTTGATTGTAGAATCTTAGTGTAGAATTCATAATGTTATAATGTCAAATTTCCTTATCTTTAAAATGTATATAGGAATACCTATTTCACAATGTGGTTTTGAAGATAAAATTTTAAAATACAGCATTTTATAATTTTATCTTCAAAACCATATTGTGAAATAGGTATTCCTATATACATTTTAAAGATAAGGAAATTTGACGCATAACATTAAGAATTCTACATTAAGATTCTAAACATAGTAGCTATAGTTGGTATGGGAGCTCTGGTAGCACAGTGCCTAAGGAACTTGACTGCTAACCAGAAGGCTGGCAGTTCAAACCCACCAGCCACTCCTCAGAAGGAAGGTTGGGCAATCTACTTCCGTTGTGATACTGCCTTGGAAACCCAAGGAGAGGTTGCTGTGAGTCAGGTCTGACTCAGTGGCACAAAACATCAACAACATAGTTGATATTACTGTTCAGTCAAATTGACTGGACTTTTTGGGATGATAGAATGTCTCCGTAAGACTCTTTCTTCCTCACTGGATTGGATCTGGCTTTCTAAAAGTAATGTTTGTATTATATTAAGTAGTTAATAGGTTTTCTAAATCCTGAATCAGTTACAGTGTAAAAAATTATGGGATCTTATCCATTGTTTCAACAGATACCATAGGAATTAAGAACATGAGCTCCAAATCATACTCCCTGGATCTTTTAGAAATATAATCTTTTCCCTAATGAAAAAGAAATTAATCTGTGTGCTTAAAGAGTATCTTGTTTTTTTTTTAACTTTTTATTTTGAAACTTAGTTTTCCATTCAACAGTTCATACATATTTTGTATCATGACAGTGATTTCAATCCCTACAATGTAACAACACTCATTCCACTTCCTCCCTGTGTTTCATTTGCATTCTTCTCCTTCCTTTCCGGTTCTTACCTTCTCAATTTTATCTCTGGGCAAATGCTGCCCTTTTGATTTCCTATGACTGCTAACCAGAAGGCTGGTGATTCAAACCCACTGGCCACTGGAAGGAAGATTGGGCAATCTACTTCCATAGAGATACTGCCTCGGAAACCCAAGGGAGGGTCGCTATGAGTCAGGAATGACTCGATGGTAGTGCCATTTTGAATTTAATGGCATATTGCTCTAAGGAGTGCATACCTCCCTGGTGTTACTGTTCACCTTACAGGCCTATCAATTGTTTGGCTGGAAGTTGAGCCACAGAGGTGACTTCTGTTCTAGGCTTGAAGAATAGTCCACTAAGGAGATCATAGTCTCAGGCAGTCCATTATCTAAAGAGAATCTTTTTGAATATTAAAGTATTATAAAAAAACAAACTTACTGCCATTGAATCATTCCAACTCATAATGATTCCCATTCGATTTCCAAGGTGGTAAATATTTACAAAGGAGCTCTGGTAGCATAGTGCCTAAGGCACTTGACTGCTAACCAGAAGGCTGGCGATTCAAACCCACCAGCCACTCCTCGGAAGGAAGGTTGAGCATTCCTACTTTCGTAGTGATACTGCCTCGAAAACCCAAGGAGGGGTCACTATGAGTCGGGGTCGACTCGATGGCATGTAACAAATCTTTACAGAAGTAGATTTCTCCATCTTCTTTCTATTATATTATGCTGTTGTTGTTATGTGCCATTGAGTTGGACCCGACTCACAGCGACCCCTCCTTGGGTTTCTGAGCAGTATCACTACGGAAATAGATTGCCCAACCATCCTTCCAAGGAGTGGCTGGTGGGTATGAACTGCCAGACTTCTGGTTAGCAGTCAAGTGCCGTGGGCACTACGTTCCAGAGTTCCCTCTCTTATATTATAATAGAGTCTAAAAGAATATATAAATAAATTATTATATATAGTAGAGTCTAAAAAGTTAAGAGTGTGTTTTTAGACTCATACTGTCCGAGTTTACATCCTAGTTCCAGATTAGAACTGTACCCTGTGCTTTCTGACCCAATTTTTCCCATTTAAAAATAATTATATATTTATATCCATTTATAAATAATAATCTTATCATTATATAATGTAATAGTGATATATACTTCCTAGGCTGGGAAGGAGTAGGCGAGATTATAGCATAACCGTTTAGCAGACTCTGCTGGCTCAGATGGAGTAGTGTTGTTGTTAGGTGCCGTGGAGTTGGCTCTGACTTGTAAAGACCCTTTGTGTACACCAGAATGAAACTGGTCCTGCGCCAGTCTCACAATCCTTGCTATACCTGAGCCCATTGTTGCAGCCACTGTGTCAGTCCATCTCATTGAGGGCCTTCCCCTTTTTTGCTGACCCTCCACTTTACCAAGAATGACATCCTTCAACCAGGAATGGTCCCTTCTTACAACATGACCAAAGTAGGTGAGATGTAGTCTGGCCATTCTCACTTCCAAGGAGCATTCCAACTCCACTTCTTGCAGGACAGATTTGTTAGTTCTTTTGGCAGTCCATGATACTTTCAGTATTCTTCACCAACACCACAACTCAAAAGCATCAACTCCTCTGTCTTCCTTATTCATTGTCCAGCTTTCAGATGCATATGAGGCAATTGAAAACAATTGGCTTGGGTTAGGTGCACTTTAGTCTTCAAAGAGACATCTTTGCTCTTCAGAACTTGAAAGAAATCTTTTACAGCAGATTTGCCCAGTGCGGTATGTCATCTGATGTCTTGACTGCTGCTTCCATGGGTGTTGATTGTGGAACTAAGGAATACGAAATCTCTTGACAACTTCAATCTTTTCTCCGTTATTCTATCTTTTTCTCCAAAAGGCTCAAACCCACCAGCCA